ACTGTTCATAAATAAAAAACATTCAAAATGTTTGTTCATTGTGGTATTTTGTCTAGAAGTCCTGTGTACTATCTGCTGTGCCACAGAGCCAGGTTTATTTTGATATTTTGTAATAGATAAATAACCATCACTTTTTACTGTTGGGTGAAAATCTAAAAGAAAGGAAATAATGTTTTTATATGTGTTGAACCTTGTATTTGGACTAGTTCTTTATACAACAGAGTCATTGTCATTGAAACATCACTCTCTTCTCATTTATCTTGTCTGTTTTATTGCCATATTATTTTCAGGGACTCCCGAGAGCCTAGCTGAGAAAGAGAGGCAACTCATGGGTATGATCAATCAGCTGACCAGTCTGCGAGAGCAACTATTGGCTGCCCACGATGAGCAGAAGAAACTAGCTGCATCTCAGATTGAGAAACAGCGCCAGCAAATGGAACTGGCCAAGCAGCAACAGGAACAGGTGAGTAAGAACTAGAGATGTGATCGAATTCCTCAGACATTCCTTTGATGAATGAGTCCATCCGTCCACCTCAATTAAGTAAATAAAAAGGCAAAATCCAAAGCAAACACAGAAAAAAAACTACCTCTTAAAGAAGCTTATTAAGTACTTTGGTGGTAAGTAGCATATACGTAATTGTAAACAAGGTAAATTCTGATAGGTCATGAAAGAAATACCAAAAAGAACCATGGAGGCTCAAGAGAACATTTCTAGTAAGAAACATTGTGAAAGAATTCATTAGCAAGGTGACATTTGAGACATGCTTTGAAGAACAGGTGGGACTCAACAAGTAAAGTGAATTTCCAATTAGGGAGTTGTAAGTTCAGTTAGAAGGCTATTATAATAATTTAAATGAAAAATGGTGAGAATCTAAATTAAGCAGAGTAGTGATCATGAACAAAGAGAAGAGACAAGAAAGGAATAAACGTATAAGAGTTATGGTTAGTAAAAAATTGGGGGCAAAAGGAAGAGGAACAGTGTGGAGTCACAGTAATAGGGAGAATGAGAAAGTCATCACTAGATATTGGAAAAGTTAGAAGGAGGATAAATTGGGAAAAGAAAGTGGTTTGGAGATACGTGAGAAACAGCTAGAAATACCAATCTGCAGTTCAGAAGAGAGGGTTGAGCTAGATTTTTTAGGTTGTTTACTTAGAGATGGTAGTTTTAACCACTGGAGTAGATAACATTCATTCATTTATTCAACTAATAGTAAGCCAGTGCTTCCTATGTGCCAGGTACTATGCTATTTGCTGAGGCTGTGTCAATTAACCAGAGTGACAAAGCCCCTAAATTCTAGTGGAAAGAGAGAGATCATTAACAAAGGAACAAATAAATTAACAAAATAACATCAGATTGAAGAAATGCAAAGAGTAATATGATAAATGTTGAGTGGTATGACAAGGCAGTGCTTCTTAGATTGGGTGGTTGGAGAAATCTTTCCTAAGCCATGGCCACTGGGCTCAGATCTAAATGACATATAAGAGGCAGCCATGTTAATATCTGAGGCCAGAGTATGTCATGCAGACATACGGCATGTTTATAGGCCTTAAATTAGAGTGGAAATATCACAAGAAAGTAGGGAGGAACTAAGGGTAGATCCTTGGGAGATACTGGTATATAGCTGGCAAAGAGAGGAAAATGAACTTATCCAGAAACAATCAGTTACAGAAGGGGGGGCCAGGAGTTCCGTGGCATAGGAAACAAGAAAATGTGGAAATTTTAAGAAGTAATAGGTTACAGTGTTAAACGCTAGAGAAAAGTAGTCATTCTAATATCAAATTGAAAGTGCTAGGTTTGTCATTTAGATTCTCATTGTTAGCCTTGAAGAGTGAGGCTTCTATGGAGTTTTAGTAGCAGGAACCAGACAATAACTGGCAATTATGCAGTAGGACACAGAGGCAATGCCTGTGAACCACTATTTAAAAAAATTAATAGTAAAGGGAAGGTATGATAGAGGGTTTCATAGGGTCAGGTTACAAAGAAGGATGGCCTCTTTTCTACAGCTAAGTCCCTTTACTATCCCATGTATAGGCACAGTCCACTCACTGTTTCTAGTAGAGGATGGCCACTATTTAATCAAGGGTATTTGTGTGTCTACACATGCATACAAAACCTTCCAAACAGCTTTCAAAATATAAACTAGCAGACTTGAAAGAGATGAAGAAATACTCAGATTATGTTTGGGAACCCCCCCCACACATTATTTTCATTTCATTCTTCTCTGCTTGGCGATTCTTCTCTGCCTGAAAGATGCTATTTTTGTTTTTAATGAAATGCCTCATCACTTTCCTTAAAGATATATTTGGCCTGTTATTGCATATGGCCCACATTCCTCTTGCTTTACCCCATGATAAAAGAGTTCAGAATGTTTGCCTGTTGCAGTATAAAAAACACCATTCTTTTTTTGTCCTTAATTCTCAATCCTTCAGACATCTGAATTTTGGAGAATCCTAGGAGTCTCTAAAGATGTAGCTTAGGTGGGAATATTTCTTTGTAGAGCATCTCTATTTATTTTGGTGGGTCTGAAGGCACACCTGTCCTGAAGAATCTAAGCAATCACTGTTGGAGAGGAAGTTTCTTTTCTTTCTCTTTCACATTCTGCCCCATCCCTGAAGATCATTAAAGGATTCTAGAATCCTTTCATTCTACTACTTTCTCAAGATCTCTGACATTCTCCTTAGAACTCTAGAAACCATTAGGTTCTTCCAGAATTTCTCTCCTGTGTTGGCAAGATGTCCCAAAATGCTTCTTCCCACAGCCTGAGAGAAGAGCCTTGGTGACAGCTACAGGTCAGGTTTCTGGAGCCTATTCGGCTCCCCCAGCTGCCCTCTACCATGCTGAGCTGGCAGGCACAGTCACCACTCTGTGTTCACAGATCTGTTCACGAAGCACATTTAATACTTACTACTTAAGAGTCAGCTCAGGTTCATCTTCTTTCGAAAATTCCTTTCCTGACACTCCTTCCACCACTCCCGACTTAGCATAGGACCACCCTACTCTGCACACTCCTGTTACAGCCCTGACAAACACTAAGGGGTCTGTTCACTGACCAGCCTTTCTACCACATCTGAGCTCCATTCCACATTCAGCTATTCAACAAATGTCCATTGGGCACCAATTTGTTGCCAGGTTCTTTTCTAATTACTAGGGGTTCGGTGGGGGAATAAAAAAGGCAAAAATCTCTCATGTATTAAAATCTAGTTGAGAGAGATAGACAATAAGTAAACCACTAAACTACAGTATATGTTGTAAGTATTATGTTGAAATATAAAGCATGGAATTGGGGATGAGGGTAGCAGATAGAGGGATATGCTCTTTTAAAGTGGATGCTCAGGGAAGACCTCATTGACCAGGTAACATATTTGAGCAGAGACTTGTAGGAGGCAAGAGAGTGAGCCATGGGGCTGTCTAGCCAAAGAGTGTTCCAGACAGAGGGGAAAGCAAGTGCAAAAGCCCAGAGGCAGGAGTATCCTTGGGAGGTCGGAGCATCTTTGGTATGTTCAAAAGGCAGTTCAGAATGTGGTGTGGTCTAGTGGAGTGACAAAGGGAGAGAGGGAGAAGATGAAATCAGAGAGGTAGCAGGAGGCCAAATCATACAGGGCCTTGCAGTCGTTATATGGACACTGGCTCTGAATAAGACAGACGGGTTTTGAAAAAATGAAGAATGTGACACAATTGTATTTTCTAAAAGGATTATCTCTGATACTGGTCTGTAACAGACTGTAGGGAGCAAGGGCAAAAACACAAAGAGCTAACAGGAGACCATGGCAATAATCCAGGCAAGAGATGCCGTGGCTTAGAACAAGGGAAAGGGTGGAGAGGTAGGAAGAGGTCAGGCTCTTGATACAGTCTTAATGTTCTGTTAAAAAGATTTAAATATCACATGAAATATTGATATGAGGGAAGAAGGAACCAGACTTGAAGAAAGAATAATATCCTTTTTTGTACCATCTCCTTTCCTTTCTTTGGAAAAAAAGAGTACGAGTTTTCTTCTTTTACCATATTCCAAAGATAAAATGAAAATATTAAAATTGTCATAATTATACCAGTGTCCATAAAAGAAGTAAAATATTCATTAAAGGGCATGAACAGTGGCTCACACCTATAATCCCAGCATTTTGGGAGGCAGAGGCATATCACTTGAGGCTAGAAGTTGAAGACCAGCCTGGGCAACATAGTGAGACCCCATCTCTAAAAAAACAAAACAACAACAAAAAATTTGTTATGCAGCCATGTAGACCCATCCCATCATATGGGTTCTTTACTTTTATTCATGGTAAATTTTTTTTTCTCTGAGTTCTAAACTTAGAAGTTAAGGAATTTATTTTTTTTAAATGAAAATGATAGTGATTATAACTTGAGAATAAGATCAAGAGTTTATAAGAGTGTGATAAGTTTCATGAGATTAGAAGTTATACCTTGGTAAGGTTTTCTACCCTATATCATGTAACGAAGTGTTTAAAATTTTCTTCTCACCTATTCATTCATTAATACATTCCATATCACATTTGTACTGGGCTCCATGTAGATAGTGAGGAAAATATACATGGTCCCTACCCTCAACAAATTTATGGACTTTACCCTAGGAGACAAAAAGATGTTAATAAAAGGAAAACACCAAATAAATATAAAATAATAGCATGGGACATAGCATTAAGTAAATATAGAGGCTGTTATGAGTGCAAATAAGGGGGGTGATTGTGCTGTTCCCTAGGTTAGAAAATACCTAAGATAACTGTATGGAGGGTCAAATCTCCAGTTTAGTTTTGGACCTGTTGAATTTGAGTACCTTTGAATTGGTTTCTGGATAAATGAGTCTGAAGCTAGAGAAACAAGTTTAGAAGCATTTGGCATACGTATGGAAGTAAAGAGGAGAAAAAAATGGCATCTAAAATTGAGCCTTAGAGAATTATATTTAATGGCTGGACGAGACATTAAAGGTGACTGAGAAGGAATAGACATGAGAGATGGGAACAAAGCCACAGAAGTGTGATGACATAGAAGCCAAGGGAGAAAGTTTAGGATCAAGGGAAAGCATTTAAGTGTTGAATTCAGATGAGAGGTCAAAATGTAAGGACTGAAAAACACTTCAGAATTAGAAATGGAAGTGATCGGTGACCTCCTTAAGAATCATTTTGACAGAGAAATGGGAACAGAAACCAGAATGGAGTATGTTGAAGAGTCAGTGGTGAGTGGTTTGTGGGAGGCAGAAATGAGAACAGTATTTACCAAAAACAGAAAATACGGAAAAACAAAAAATACCCAAACTAAGGAGGATGTGGTATCTTATAATACTTTGTGTTTACGCAACACTATTGCTGTTGTAGAAAAGGGCCGACAATGGCAGAGGCAGTGCCTTCTTAATTATCACCGGGAAGAGGGATTTTTGAAATTCTAACATTCCTTTCTGGGGAATTTCACTGTTGTAGTATCTTAGGCTTCATTCACTTTGGGCCAAAAGGAACGTAACTGCTACTGAAGACTAAATGTCTTGTTCATCCTACTTAAGGATGAATTGCTGATAATTCAGAGCAACAGGCACATCTATTTTTATCGTCTTAATCAGTTTCATAGCAAACTTTAAGAAACAGAACATTGATAATTTCTCCCCTGTGACTACAATATACTTTTAAATGTTTGATGTGCAATTTCTCTACAGATTGCAAGACAACAGCAGCAGCTTCTGCAGCAACAACACAAAATCAATTTGCTCCAGCAACAGATCCAGGTCAGAAATCATAATTTCAATTAAAAAAATAGATTCTGTTTCTTATTCTTACATGACCTAACTGAAATGACCTCAAAATAAAAATTATTTTCAGCCCAATTCATGATGTGTTACCTCCCGTGCCACGGGAATCTGTCACAGGCCCTACTGTGCCAAGGAGCTTCAGTTTGAACAAGCTAACAATAATTTGCATCTTACCCTGAGAAGAAATTACTGCAGAGAAATGTTTCACTTTCTCTTTACTTTAGTGTTTAAAATGTGCCTGTAAGTGTTCTTAAAAGAGTAGGCACAGGGAACCGAAGCAGAAAGGTGCAGCAGGTTTTCAGTTAGAGACGGCCAGAAAGAAATTTTTTACGGTATGCCAAGAGCCGTGTGTGATAAAGGTGGAACATAGGGAAGGCAATGATTTAGTGTTCAAATTGACTTACCTGTGGTATTGCCTGGAGAAAACAAGTCCGAAGGCTCTGCAACCTCCGTATTTTTGTTATATGGAAATTCACAATGATAGGGAAAATAAATATAAGAAGGAAGGAAACAACTGTATTAGTGATAAAAGGAAAAAATATTGTTATCAGGGATGTCTTATTTCCACCATCTGCTAGTGGCATGAATTTTGACAAAATGCTTTGTTTCCCTTTATGAAAATTTACTGTATGAAATGTACTTATTTCGTAGAGATTTCTGAGGATTAAATGAAATCATGAACTAAAGAGCCTTAGCATAGTTTCAGGGCACACGGCAAGTGCTCAGAATCTACTGGCTATGACTATCAAGGAACTCAATTTCTGGAGCTATGAATCCAAACCTCTGTAACATCCATCTGGAGGTAACTGTTAGATTCGCAGTCAGCTAATTTAGGGAGAAATTCATCATTCTCTTGAAGTTATGTCCTGAGAATTCAAAATATTTTATTAGGAGTAAATATCACAAATGACAGAAGCAAATGTGCCAAAACTGTTTCATTCTTGTATGAATCATGTTTTAACTTCTTTGCCAACAAATTCTCTCCCATTTAATCGACTTGTGTCAGGTACACTTAATTTCTTTACTCTGGATTTAACAGCCCAATCAATGTTTATCCTTTCTTGTTCTAATTGGGATTTTAGTGAGCTGGTGACAGCTTCAGTGAGATAGTAGAACATCAGTGAGATGTTTCAACCAGGGATCTTTGCCTTCCTTAACTGTAATTATGATCAACACATTTCTAATGTGTTATTATCTATTCATATCTGGAGTGTGGTTATTCATTTCAGTAGTTTAAAACTGTTTGTTGGACTTCATGTTGTTCAGGCAGAGCACACTGACTTTGACTATCTTTTTAGTTGATTGTACAGGGTTTCTGCATTTAAAATGTTTTTAAATATTAACAACATAATGTATTGAAATTGTTAGGCAATTTCTGACAATTCCATAATCAGCAATGCGATAAGTCACTTGGTTTCACTGCAATTTGATGAGGGTACCAATAGTTTTAAAATTTTATGATTTCTGTAAGTCTAAGTCCTTCGTTAAACAAAATTGCAAAAATACATCTAAACCCATATTGTAAATATGTATAAATCTCAATAAACTGTGTTCTGACCAATTAGATTAGCCAGTACATTCAATGCCTTTTTAAAGAATGATTCTACAATTATGACCACTGCATTCACAATGTGGATTTTAAGCCCAGTGTAATGACAATAAGTTTAAATGGATGGATTCTTTGTCCATTCTATAGTGCCATGGAATACTATAATTTATAAGTCAGAGCATTTTTGAATGAACAGTGCTGGAAAAATTATCTGTCCTAGAAATGATATGATTATAGAAACTGGAATATAGAGAGCAAAGGCCAAGTTTAATGACTTGCTCAAGATCACACAGTTAGTGACTGGTGGAACTGGGATTGGAAGCAAAGTTTTCTAACTACTAATAAAAATTTTGCCAATATTAGAGTTTTAAAAGCTTAGAATTTCTATTTGATCAAAATGTTAAGCAATTGGCTTCCACAAGTTCACGGAGTAGGGGAAAAAGGGTCCCTAAAGGAAGTAAAGTCGCACTGAAAGTAATTTGGGGAAAACTTTTAAGACATGTTGAGATATATGTGTATGTCCTCTTTCCAGGGTTAGTGCAGATAAATGAAACTGACAGAGTCAAAATCCGTCAAGTTATTATTTAAAAAAAAAAAAGTCTGGGAAGCAGGGAACATTTCAGGCAACAAATAATAAGTACTGAGCAAGACTGACAATCTGAGAGGAATTCATTTTCACAGCTTCTAGTATATTCATTAACTAAAAGCACAGTTCTAAAATATATTTTGTAAATTGTTAATTTGGGACAGCCTTACAAACACTTAATAGTTATGAAAGTCACAATATATTTGAATTATTTAGTCTACTGAGAGATTGTTCAGACAATTATGGGAAGCACTGATGTAGTGGCATGTGTAGAAATAGGAAATTAAAAATGTAGAACAGAACCATTTTTCCCACATATAAATCCTTACCATATTTCTTGTAGAATATTTTCTCTTCCCTCTTCTCCTTCTTCCCACTTCCTCTTTTTCCTAGGAATCATAGAGCAAAGGTGAAGAAGAGTAAAAATAGAACCTGCTAATGTGGAGGGCAAATCAAATTTATAAAGAACATAAAATTTATTTTAATCAAAAATGCATACATAATCAAATGCTCACATAAGAATTTACCATAGATTTATTTTATTTGATATTTGAAAATACTCTTGTATTTTGATCTGTTTTTTCTTTCTTAAATATGGAACCTTAACACCTTGTAGAAATAAACATACCAACTTACATTATTCATCCTGATTGCATTTTCTTAGATGTTTTGTACCATTGTTGTTGCTCCAGACTTTAGAAAACAATGCATTCCAGCTGCTCTTATATAGTCCACAATTAAGGCTGCCTTTAAAATTTTCTTTGAATTATAAATACAAAAGACATCAACTTAGTTCAAACGTTAATAAAGGCATACAGTTGGGTTAGACAGATCTGTTAGGTGATTTAGATTAGATTTACATTAATTTCTTTTCTTTAAGAAGTAGAAAAGGACAAATTTTTACACTTGATGGATATGTTAAATGATAGGAAGGATAATATTCCCAAACGTTTTCCTCATTCTTTTAGTGAGATCTCTCTAAAGGAGAATGTATAAATAAAGATGTAATTTATACATTTATATTCCATTTGGAATATATATCATTCAATTTAAAAAGTACAAATAAGTTTGTGTGTGTGTGTGCACATCCACATATTCTAATAACCACATTATTTAAAACTTTTCTTGGCCTGTTAATTCTAATTTTTCTCAAACGTTAATGAAAAGAGCGATGGTAGGTATTTATTCAAAGAGAAAAATGCCATAAAAATTTGCAAGCGAACCAGTTTTATTTAATCAATTAGGATCGGTTCTTTATGAACTGTTTTTCTTTAAAAAGCAACCTTAGCTCAAAAATTGCATAATTCTAATTGGATTGAAAACTCAATCTACATTTCTTCCTTATAAAGACTTTATAGGGTTACAGTCTTCTGCCAGGTTTATTCACATAACTCATTAGGATTAAAAGAAGAATTAAGAAAGTTTTCTGTTATTCTTTGCAACATCATAAATCAATTCACCTTACAAATAAAATCATGTCATAATACCAGAAACATCCATCTTCCCTCAAGAAATATATCCACCTGTTTATGAGACTCAATTTTAGGAACAACTGAGGAGTTTCCATCTTCTTTTTCTACTATTTGGCAATATTTTGCTCCAATATTTTGTTTATTGACCTTAAAAGATAGAACATTTTTGCATTTCCTTTTACTGTATTGAGCTTTTAATGTATATTCATACATGAGATGAAATCTGTAAATATTTCAGAGGACAATATCTTTCTAGATTTTTTTTTTGAGGGGAAAACTTTTTTTTCTCTTACTCTATTGACTATTCTACAGTGCTCATCTTTAAGCAATTGTATTTCCTAATTTCTTTTCCATGTTAAATCAACCTGTTTCTAATATTGATAATTAGAGGGTTTATGTTTCCAACAATGATGGTAGGCCAGTGGTTCATCTTAACCTGATTAACTGACACTAGAGCCTTTTATAGTAAGTGATTGAGAGACTTCTCAAATTCCATCATGACAACAAATCGAATATTCCTGGATACCCAAGTTTCCTTTAATGTTGCAGCTTCTTTTTTAATAAGAGCCAACTGTATTGGTCAATAATGTTGCAGCTTCTGATGGGATAGGGTTTCTATAGCTTTGGGTAGATATATAAGAAGCTTGTTCTAGTTATTAGTTTCTTACTTTTTTTTAGCAATATTTAATGGAATTTAAGGTTCTTGTCAGCAACTAGTAGGGTTAATCCAACAGTGTGCTCTAGAGTTAAATCCACTTAAGAGATTTTTAAGGGCAAATTTAAAGATATTTTACTTCTTTCAACTGTATATTTATCACGATTCCCATACTGAGGGATCAGTGTTTGAACTTTAATAAGAGATTACAAAAATTTACTGCATTTCCCTCTCTGATTAACTTTTCTAACTATTGTTCATTGTGTTCTCTCAGGAGCAAAAGAATTGGTATTTAATAACCCCCTGTCATTGTTTCTGATTCATAAGGTGAGCATGTGCAGGACTAGTCACAGCTTTGGGTCACTGATTCTGTCTGAGCTAAGGGTAGAGCGAAGGAAATATTTCCATGCTCTTGCACTCTTAGTTGGGCAGTGCGCATTCCATATTATACAGGAAAGAACTTGGTTCTTTAGGTGGTATAG